CGGAGTCGGTGTTGGGGTGGTGATATTTCAAATCTCTCCTACCCAGTGAATCAAGGCGCGGGCACTGCTGTGGGACTGTCGCTGACCCTGGCTCAGCGTAGGTTCCGGGCTGTGTGTCACTTCCGGACCTCTGGAGGAAGTGGGTTCGTTGGCTGGGCAACCACCTGGCGTCCCTGCACCCTTGGGTTCCTCCTCCACCAAGTTTAAACGAGTTGAAAAGCTTCCCCCCCCCCCTGTTGTTTGTCATCAAAGAAACTAGAGCAGAGAATCATCTTTAGGGACTGTCGTACCTTTCTGCTGCTAGGACAGGAGAAATTTAAATGGGGAGGGATAGGTTCTTCCTTTAGTAATCCCGAGTCAAGAAACAGCGTGGATCTAATGTGGACTGTGAAAGCAACTTGTAGCCATTCTTTCCAGACATGTCACCAAGCCTGTAACTAATCCTGTAGTTCACTTCATGGTGACATTGTTTTAACATGTTGGAACACTTAGGTGTCTCAACCTACAATTTTGTTTTTTGAGTCTCTGGTAAGACTAATTCTGTTGGGAGAAAAATGTATTGTTTCTACAGTATTCCAGTATCTTCACCAGTTTCAACATATGAGGTAAAAAAAAAATCACTTTTATAGATAAAATTTACAGCGCTAAAGTATCATATTGAGTTAATTGTGTGGAGAGTATTTCAAAGCTGTCTACTTCAAGAACACAACTGTTTTCAGATTGTGTGACTCCTCTCATTTAAGGGATTGAATTCAGAGCTCACACAATAGGTAGAGGGTTTACCACTATCCTAGTGTCCACCCTTCCTCCCACCCTTTAAGAAAATGAGCATCATCCTGGTTTTTGTTTTTGTTTTTTTCTTCTGCAGACATGGGGGCATACATGAATGGCAGTCTAGCAATGGGACACATGCTTTAAGAATTCTGTGCCAAAATTTGTAGTTTTCCTTATATTAACACTGTATTCTGTAAAGGCACAAAAAAATGAGGCTAATTAGCTTGATAATGACATTTTTTGACAGGGAAGTCTTTGACCCCAGTAATCTATAATTGTCATAAATTGCTCCGATGACATGAGTAGGAGACCTTACAATACTGAAATGTCCATATAAGCCGTTGGCTCCATTATGATTGTGGCTGATTCCAAGATTAATATAAACATAGTGGCCTAGCTTCTGCTCTATGCACATAATTGCCAAGCTCAACTTCAGTTTTATTTTGTTAGAAGCTTTATATATTTTCATGTTCACCTGGTTCAGATTTTATTTTCACTGATTCTTAAGTATTTGCTAATATGGGAGTCAGTGCTAATATAACGGAGCTTAGGGAGGGAGGCAATGAAATTGCTTCCTCACCTATGTGAGTGAGTCTTTCAGGAATTACTGAACAGTCCATTAAGTAGAGAAATAAAGAAAAACAATTGAATTAAATATTCATTGCAGGATATGGTTACTAGAAAACTTTTATGGTCTCTGTAGCATTTTATTCATAATTTCCTAGGAAAATAGCAACCTTTGAGCTAAAATGTATTATGTAATTCTAAGTGCCTTTCATACGGTATGTGAAAAGTTCTCTAAGATCAGATGTAGTTTTGGCAGTTTCATATAAATGTGATAGCATTCTCATGGGTTTGCTCTGTATAGTTTTTTTTTGATTGTTTGTTTTTAAGTGCTCGCCATTAAACCTAGGTTCTCACACATGGCAAGCAGTCTGCTATTGAATTATCCGATATCTTGATTCAGGAGCTCACTGAGTTACCTAGGCTAGCCTTGAACTTGTGATACTCCACCTAACTTTCTCAAGTAGCTAGGATTACCAGTCACTGGGCCCAGCAATATGAAAAAAGAAAAATTTCTATCCCATAATATGGGCCTGAGTAAATGGTAATTTCTTTTTTCCTCACTGTATAATTAAGGTGTCCTTAAAGCATAAATACTTATCTTATTACAGTGTCAGTGTGCAAGTATGACATAAGGAACAGCTAACCTGATCATGAGATCCAGAATATTTGGAATCAAGTTTATGCTTTTATAATTTTTAAATTACTTTGCATCTAGCAAGGAAATATCTACTGTCTTCTTTTTGTGTGGTGGGGTAAGAAAACTGGGCTTTTAGGAAATCCACTTATATGCCTGCTTGAGCAAAACAGGGTAGATTTGAATTTTGTTCGGAAATGTGATATGCACAAGACAACAGGAAGGCTCAGTTGGTAAAGGTGCTGACAGCCAAGCTTGATGACCCGAGTTCAATCCCTGGAATTCACATGGTGGAAGGAGAGAACTGACTCCCACAAATTCTCCTCTGACCTCCTTGATGAGTGTTGTGGCATGAATGAGTGCTGATGGACACACACACACACACAATGCAATTTCCAGGGAGGAGGGAATCCACAAATTATTTGCTAATTATTTGTTTGGGTTGCCTGATTTCAGACAGCCACTGTATGCATTTTATTTATTTAATATTTCTGCTCTTTATAGTAGTAATTGGAACATAAAACGATCATGTGGAATGTAATGGAAATAACAATGGTATGCTGTGTAGTATTAGAAATTAGAGTTAATGTATATTTACCTCCTTAATTATACAGTGAGGGAAAAAAGAAATTACCATTTACTCAGGCCCATATTATGGGATAGAAATTTTTCTTTTTTCATCTTGCTGGGCCCAGCAAGGCACATTTCTTTGATATAAGCATTGTACCTTATAAGGGTAAGAAATAGAACAGATTTGAATAAAACTAAACTTAATTAGATTTTTGGTGACATGTGAAATTGGACATTCTGGTGACTCAGCCATTGCCTGATTTAAAAGTGTCCAACTTTTTATACAATTGCATTAGCAGCTTCCACAAGCGTAGAATCAACTGCTGAGTTAGATATGAAGGGAGAATGATCCAGTGCTGACTTTACTGTAATGGTGAAGTGGCTTGCTCAGCGGATGCCAGGAATGGCAGATCTACTTTGGAAATAGTTTTGATTTTCAGAATTCCCCCTGTTATGCTAAAATAAAAGAGCCATTAAAACTAAGATTACAGGAAGCTGAGAGATGCTGATGTATGCCTTTAAAAGAGTGTTCAAGTGGGGGGGGGGAGAGCATGAAAATTAAGGTCATGTCTGTCTCTCTGGAGTCATGTAACAAGTAACTGATTGAGCTGTAAGCCCTGTAAGCACACAGGTGGGTAAAAGTCTGTGGCCGAGTCCCAGAACCACCTCAAGTTTTATGACTGGAATTCAGCATGTACATTTTGTATATAGAGTTAGTTGATTTAATGTTCAGCTAAAGCATAGGCAATAAGGAACTCAACAAATTCTAAATTAGCATGTAATAGTCTTACATAATATTTTGGTTATTAATTTACTCTGTGTGTGTGTGTGTGTGTGTGTGTTTTCTGTGAAGGTCAGAGATTGATGTCCCACATCTTCCTTTATCGATTTCCACCTTGTTTTTTGAGACAGGATCTCTCACTTAAACTTGCTGGTTGAGCTAGATTGCCTCTGACCAACAAACCCCAGGGACTCTCTGCATCCCCAGCACTGAGGTTACAGATGCACACAGCCACACTGCCTTTTATTTGGTGTCAGGAATAAACTAGGTCCTTGTGATTACGTGGCAAGTACTTTACAGACTAGCCATTTCCCTATTCCCCCTTACCTTATTTATTTAGTTTTGGGTTTTTGTTGTTGTTGTTGTTTTGTTTTTTGTTTTTCGACACGGTTTCTCTGTGGCTTTGGAGGCTTGTCCTGGAATTAGCTCTTGTAGACCAGGCTGGTCTCGAACTCAGAGATCTGCCTGCCTTTGCCTCCCAAGTACTGGGACTAAAGGCACCACCGTCCAGTCCCCCTTAACTTTTTTAAATAAAAATAAATAATATTAATGTTTATGTTCTTGGTAGTTTACTTCTAATTACCTTTGTCATAGCTTCTATTGCTGTGATAAAACATCATGACCAAAAGCAACTAGGAAAGAAAAGGGTTTATTGAAGCTTATCAGCTGAGGTTATAGGCCTTGTGTGGGGAAAGTCAGGACAGGAACTCAAGGCAGGGACTGGAGACAAGAACTAGAGCATAAGCCATGCTGCTTCCTGGCTTGCTCTTCGTGGCTCGCCAGCAGCTCAGAACTACCTGGCCAGGGTTGGAACTGTGTACAGTGAGCTAGGCTCTCTTTACATCAGTCATCATTCAGGAAATCCAGTGTTGTCAGGGCTGTCGAGGTGGCTCAGTGGTTAAGAGCACTGACTGTTCTTCCAGAGGATCTGGGTTCAATTCCCAGCACCCATATGGCAGCTCACAAGACACCTTCATACATACAGGCAAAACACCGATGCACATATATACATATATACCCAACCCAAATTGAGGTTGTCAGGCCTGGTAGCAAGCTCCTTTACCTGTTGAACCATTTGCCTTTAAGTACACTTTCATATTAATGATGTAGAATTTGTTTGGAAGTAGTGTTTTTAATGTATACATACTATCAAATGTGGTTTCCTGCTTTAATTCTCCTTTTCCCCCTTTTTTAGAAACTTTAAAGGAAATTGATGATGTCTATGAAAAATATAAGAAAGAAGACGATTCAAACCAGAAAAAACGCCTACAGCAACATCTGCAGAGAGCGTTAATCAATAGCCAAGAATTGGGAGATGAAAAAATTCAGATTGTCACGCAAATGCTCGAATTGGTGGAAAATCGGGCAAGACAAATGGAGCTTCACTCACAGTGTTTCCAAGATCCTGCTGAAAGTGACCGAGCTGCAGACAAAGCAAAGATGGATTCTAGTCAACCGGAAAGATCTAGAAGACCTCGAAGACAGCGCACCAGTGAGAGCCGTGACTTATGTCACATGACAAATGGAATTGAAGACTGTGATGATCAGCCACCAAAAGAAAAGAAATCCAAATCTGCTAAGAAAAAGAAACGCTCCAAGGCCAAGCAGGAAAGGGAAGCCTCACCTGTTGAGTTTGCAATAGATCCCAATGAACCAACTTACTGTTTATGTAACCAAGTGTCTTACGGGGAAATGATAGGCTGTGACAATGAACAGTGTCCCATTGAATGGTTTCACTTTTCATGTGTTTCACTCACCTACAAACCAAAGGGGAAGTGGTATTGCCCAAAGTGCAGGGGAGACAATGAGAAAACAATGGACAAAAGTACTGAAAAGACAAAAAAGGAGAGAAGATCGAGGTAGTGAAGGCCATCTGTGTTTTAAAAGGGTTGTTTGTCTTTTATATAACTGGTTTACTTTCAGAAAATGTTTTAGGGTAAATGCATAAGACTATGCAATAATTTTTAATCATTAGTATTAATGGTGTATTAAAAGTTCTTGTACTTTGTCTGTGACCTTAATTTTCTGCACTGAATTACCAAATATTTTAAGCCAGGTAGTCTTGAGGGCACCTGAGGAAAGGAGCAGGAAACAGGGAGAGAGTGGTATGAACGAACTTCAAGCAGCTTCCCAAACCACGCCTATTTCATTTGCACCTCAAGCTCCCATGTTGTTTTGTGGGGTAAACACAAAAGTTTTACTAACATCTTAGTTCTGTGTGCTTAAAATTTTTATGTATTGTTGGAGTTCTTTGTGTCAAATTATCTTGGTAATTTCAAATATGAACACTATCCTGTTTAGAGATTCTTACTGGCCCCATGTATTTATACACTTGTTAAATCTCTAGTCTTCCAGAAATTCTGGGAACTAGAGAGAAGAGTTACTTGTGATTCCATGTGGAATAATGCACTCTTACTGGAGTATTTGCTGCTGTATTTCCTTGGTAGCTTTTGACAACTGTCAATTGTAGCATCTGTAAATGCCATTGCTTTTTCAGAACAGATGCACTTCATCTAGTGCTGATAAGAGACTTGCTTTGTTTTGATTGGGACAGGTAAGGCTAGTTAGAATACCAAAACACTGCCATTGGCTGGCTCGCACTGGCAAGATTTGGAGTATTTAGCATCATGGTTCAGGTTGAACAATTTAAAGATGGTGTCTTGATATTTTCCTTGTGACCCACTGCTGGGACATGTAGCCACAGACCTGTCAGTGGGAAAAGGGCATATATGAGTCTTTAAACATCGCCTTTTCTGTCAAACAGTTATTTTAAATAGTTTCCCTGGGGGCTAGAGTTTGTTTCTATCCCAATGAGTAATTATACATTATTTTAAATAACTATATTTACCTTAACCTCTGGTATTGGTGCTGTTTGGTGTTTTCATGTCTATTGAACTAATTTCATTCTAACAATACAATTGATAATGTATTTGTAAATTGAACCTTCTGGGATTTTGACATTTTAAGGGCAAGCATTTTGATGGATATATGTCCTTGCATTGGAGCAGTTTTTGATTATGGGGGGCAGCAGATGGACCTGTTCTATAAACTTATGTGCAGCATACTTCTTAGTCACCACTTCTTTCTAATCTAATCTTGATTCTTTTTGGTTAACATGTGAAAAATCCTGTCTGCTTGTTTGGAAAAACAAGCTGTCTGTGTGACTTGTAGGCACTTCATTTCACCTTATCGGAACATCAGGTCACTCACCTGTAAGATGAGTTGGCAGAAATGTCTTCAAGGCTCTTTTGAAATCTTGGTGTTGTAGTGTGGTAAAAGATTTTAATAATGCAACGGCTTGCTTTTCTCTTTCATGAATGTCCTCCACCCTGAGATATAAAGACAGTTTAAGGTTAGAGGTTGGTAAAAGAACATTATTTTATTTCCATCCCAAGGGTGTGTTGCATGGTGACTATTACCAGTTGATGACCTTCTTTTCTTTTCTTTTTTTGTTTTTTGTTTTTTTTTCAGACAGGGTTTCTCTGTGTAGCTTTGTAGACCAGGCTGGCCTCAAACTCACAGAGATCCGCCTGCCTCTGCCTCCCGAGTGCTGGGATTAAAGGTGTGTGCCACCAACGCCCGGCCTGATCTTATTTCTTAAGCAAGAAATGTGAGCAGAATGATGAAGAATGTATTTTTAACTTTGTTGAGTTGTAAAGAAACCCATTTTCCTCTTGAGAATACAGCTATTTAACTAACACCGTTCACATGATCATTATGAACAAAGCTCTGGGGTTCATGAATATGGAGAATTCATCACTCTTTCATAAATTTGCCTCACCTTTTGGGAGAAAAAAACAAAATCCACAACATTTTAATACAGGCATCCATATTTTCGTGAGGCTTTGACAGGTAGATGAACCTGGAATGTCTTGTCTTTCAGACCTATTGTTTGAAACATATTTTATGAATTAACTTGTTTTCTGTACCATGTGGGGAATAGAAGTCATAAACTTGCATAGCATTATGATTAGGATTTCTTTGTTAAATTTTATTTCTTATGCTATCTCATATCACTGTTATACTGTGTGACAGAGATTCCCAAACTTTCCTCAGGTTTGAATTACCTCAGTAAGTTTGAAAGCATCTGGTACCTGGGCCCGAACCACAGCAGTTGTGATAGAAAATTCATTTGGAGTGTGACTTAAGCACTGGACTCTTGTAAAAGGTCCCCATTCCTAACGTATAGAAAAGTTTTGAAACACTGCCCCATTTTGACAGTTTCAGCCTATTGAAAACTCCTGGAGATTGTCGACATTCAGGTTTCATAGCTCCAAAGCTACCACCACCGGTAGTTGAGAGCTGCTCTCTGTACCAGGGGTACCTTGGGTGTTTTCACCTTGTTGGGATAAGCAAAGAAAGACTTTCTCCTTCTCATAGACTGCACATTCTAGCGGAAGGGTCAGTTACCTGATCTAGAACATCAGGTCATGGAAAAAGAAAGGGTGAGTGTCGGATGCAGTGAGTTAGGAAGGCCCTCTAAGGCAGTTGTCAGACCTCAAGACAGGAATAAAGATTCGAGGAGGCCAAGGATCTTTGGGGGCAGTATGATAAGCTTGAGGAAAGAGATAGAAAATGAAGGCTTTGGAAATCATGGTGGGCAGTTTGGGAAGGCATTTAAAGACTGAGCCGAACTCTGATTTGTATTTAAGGATCGGTCTAGCTGTCGTTACGGAGTCTGTAGGCCCCTATGGAAGTGGGTTAGAAAATGCAGAAGTTATTTTCCTCCCAGGTGGCAGTTTAGATTTGTGTGTAGCTGTAGAAAGACTGTCTAATAGTGTAGCCCTACCTTATTTATTTTTATATGTGTGGATATTTTGCTCTTCTGTGTGTTGATGTAATAAGCGTGTGCAGTGCTCAACGAAACTAGGACATCCAAACCCCAGAGCTGGGATTCTAGACTTAGGTGCTTCATGGGTGCTGGGAACTGAACTCAAGACCTCTGGAAGAGTAACAAATGTTCTTTTTTTTTTTTTTGAAATCATTTTTTCTGCAGCAAATGTTCTTAACCACTGAGCTATCTCCTCAGCCCCTAGATTTTTTATTTTAAAAGGTACAGCTAATGAGATTTTGACCCAGGGATTGGCAAGCAAAATGACAAAAGAGTGACTTTTAGACCCTTGGTCTGAAGGATGGGGGTGGAGTTTCCCCCACATTTGGGATAGCAATCAAGTGGTTCTGGAAGAGAGAGGACTTGGTACTCGGGTTTGAAATGCCCCAAATTTCTAAGGCAACCCAGCATGGAGTCCTGTGTATGACAAATTGCAGGAGGAGACGGGATAAGCATTTGGAGTCAGTATGATGAGTTAGTGTTTCCCAAGTGTGTTGTGTATCATGGCCACCTGTTACAATGCAATCTGACTCAGTAGATTGCTTATAGGGCCTGAGAGTATGCATTTCCAGCAAGGCTTGAGTAGCAACCAAGTTATTCCAGAAGAGGAAAGAGTTGGCCATGTGGTATTTGAAATAGGAAGTAACAGAGGTGCTTTCTCAGCCCTGGAACAGGCCAAAAAGTGGTATACTACTCTGTTTTTGTTTTTGTTTTGAGACAGGGTTTCCCTGTATAGCTTTGGAGGCCGTCCTAGAACTAGCTCTTGTAGACCAGGCTGGTCTCGAACTCACAGAGATCCGCCTGCCTCTGCCTCCAGAGTGCTGGGATTAAAGGCGTGCGCCACCACTGCCTGACTCCACTATTCATTTCTAAATAAAGGTGTTCTGAGAAGGGTCAGCAACTCATCAGATGCTGTTCAAGTAAGATGAGCACAGGGTACGATCATGTTGCTTGGTTTAATAGGCTGCAAGTTTGGGGCAATGAAGGACCCAAGAGCAGAAGAAGATTGAAGTAGGGTCAGGAGCTCAAGCTTTGATTGGAAAGATGAGCAATTTTCACCTGATTCAGTTATTTATTATGTACTTGTTTGAAAGAGGGGGGGGGAAACAGTGAAGAAAGACAAAAATCTGCCTTTGAGATGCTTAGATTCTGGAATGCATGGGGGTAAAAAGCAGATAGGTGGCTAAAGTTGGTATGGGGAACATGAGATTGTACTTGACTTTCCAGGTGAAGAGCCAAGGAGAGAGAGGGCCTTAGAAGTCAGTAGGAATTAAAGAATGTGTGTGAAATGTCACCTAACGAAGTGGGAACAAGAATGGCCCAGGAAAGTCAGTCTGAGCTATGGACATTCAAGGGTTTGAGTCTTATCTCCAGATGAGCCAATTGCAAATTGCCTGGGCATAAGCATGAAAATACAAAATAGCTTAAACCCTCCAATCTCTAAGCCAGAAAAGGTGCACTTCCCAAGCCCTGTTTGTGTGCCCTGCAGCATCCGGCCTCATTGCCCTGCTGGATGGGGAGGCACAGCCCTTCCCAGGAGCAGCTGCTGGGAGGGAACTAGGTGGGCTCTGCTGCACTTTCTGAGTCAAGCGCTTGGGCTTTGATATAGTGCCAGCTATGTTTCAGCTATGTGTGTGTCAGTTTGGACTTGTCCTTACTGTGATTCTCTGACCTCGGTACGCTAGTTGTGGAAACCCTGTCCTGTTTGAATTTCTGGCCACGCAATAAATCAGGACTCCAAAAACCTTGTCAGGAGCAGGGTGGGGCCACTGTGTCCTCAGCCTGCAGTTGGTTTAGATGGAAAATGAGCAATGTAGGATAGTTACCCCGAAAGCTGCTGATATTCTTGTCTCTGAAGGTCTGAGAGCAGATTGTTCTGGACTCTAAGGCTTCTAAATTAACAGATTTAATTCATGTATATAGTAATTAGACTTTAAAGCAGAATTTTATTCTTTCTTTCCTTTTTTTGTTTTTGTTTTTGTTTTTCGAGACAGGATTTCTATGTATTGTTTTGGAGCCTGTCCCGGAACTCGCTCTGTAGACTAGGCTTGCCTCAAACTCACAGAGATCTGCCTGCCTTTGCCTCCCTAGTGCTGAGATTAAAGGTGTCTGCCAACACCACCCAGCTAAAGCAGAGTTTTCTAAGCATCAGACACTAGGAAAATCTCAATAGATTTAGCCATTTTTGTATGCTCTTTGAATCATATTTTAAAATATTACCCAATACTTTTTGAATTTGCTCTCTTTATATTAATTTATTTTATAAATACTAAAGTAGTATCGTGTGTGTGTGTGTGTGTGTGTGTGTGTGTGTGTGTGTGTGTGTGTGTGTGTGTGTCTTTCTGTCTGCCTATTTATAGTCTGTTTTTTTTCAGAGAGGATTAATATAACAAACCAAAGCAGTGGCATTAAATTCTAGCTATGTGAAATTACTTGCAAGAACAGAGTCCGCCTTATTAGCTGATAATATTAGTTAATACTAGGTAAGGATGAAAGACACAAATACAAAGGAATAAAAACGCTTCAAGAATATTCTTGAATACTTCTTACCATCCTACTCTGAGAAATAACTTTAACAACAAAACAAAAGCCAGGCGTTGGTGGCTCACGCCTTTAATCCCAGCACTCAGGAGGCAGAGGCAGGCGGATCTCTGAGTTCGAGGGCAGCCTGGTCTCTAGAGCGAATGCCAGGATTAGGCTCCAAAGCTACACAGAGAAACCCTGTCTCAAAAAAACAAAACATACAACAAACAAACAAAAAAGCTAACCATTGCCCTTCCCCCCTTTTCCACATTCTAAATGTCTTTTTGTCCGTTGTGGTACGTAACTGTTATCTCAGCACTGGAGAAGTGGAAGCATCGGAATAGGAGTTCAAGGCCAGCCTGGGATATAGGCCGCCTTCATGTCAAACAAACAAAAATAAATTTTATTTTCTTAAAGCTACACACCACAAGGTTTCTGAAAGTTTTTGAGGTGCTAGCCAACATTATCCCAATGAGCAGTCTGAAGACCAATCAGAAGCCACTATTTTGACCCATAGGGATTCTAGGGTCGTCTGAGAAGTCTCCCAACCCTGACCAAAAAAGAAAATTGTCAAAGTTATTTACATAGCTTCTTTAGTTATCTACACCTAGCATAGGGGTTCTCATCCAAAAGTAAAATTTCCAATTCCTTACAAATTGGACAACATGTCCATATTCACCATAAACACTGAAGGTGTGAGATTTTAGTAG